GAAGTAAGTTTAAGGCTTTTTACTTCGTCAGTAGTTCAATGATTGACATCCTTTTCTTCCCGTAAAACTAAAAACAAACACAAAGTAAATGTCACAAGATTTCTTCTCCTTTTTACTCACACTTCTAGAATATGAACTATACTGTTATATAGTATATGTAATCAACAGCGACTCAGTGTTGCTCACAATACAACTTAGCGAGTTTAGCTTCCTCAAAGATAAACATAGCAGTTGAAATAACTGGTTTCTAAACAAATCTATGAATGCACCAAATAAACTTGTAAACATGTTGTACATTATAACTCACAAGCAATAACTCTCCAAGGCAGAAACGTTTTAAAGAGCAACAACATATTCTGCAGGCTAACAAGCGACCAGCTTCCTGTTTCCTCTACCCACAGGAACACAGAAAAACCCCACCAAAATATAAGCTGGTGAGTATTCCCACTATGACCAGCAGAGGGTGCTGAAGAGAAAGAACCTATGCATGTCATAACACTACAACTTCATGAAGTTAGCTGTAACTTTTGATAGAAGACTCAGATATACGTATTTATGGCTTTATCTTGTAGAATTCAATATTCCCGTGTTGGACAAACAGGTTTTGCAGCTGTTTGAGCTAAGATTTTCAAGTTATTCACAAAATGAAAACCTATACTTTGTTTCGGGCGAGAACTCCATTCAAATGCATGTAATCGTAAGAAACGCACTGTCTTGGCGAAATAAAGCCTTTTTGTACAACTTCATGAAGTTAGCTGTATCTTTTGATAGAAGGCTCAGATACAGTAGCGGTTTTTGATACGGGCCATGATGCCTTGGTGGGGGGCGGCATCACGGGCATCGGCAAAAAAAATAAATAAAAAAAAATTGCTCGTACTAATGCTGCCTGACGTCATGCCAGCGCATACTGGGGATGGCATAGGCACCGATCGGTTTTCTATCGCCCATTTGCTGGGAGAGTAAGGGCGCCCTCCGTTTGCGAGGTGTGCCTGCTGCTTGCAGCACAGGGAGGAGAGGGCGGGACGGCAGGGGATTCTCTGGCTGGCTGGAGAAGCATCTAATAACCAACTCGCAAAATAAAACAAAATAAAAACAAACCAACAAACACGAAAACACCAGACATTATGATACAGACTTATAATTTGCACTGATGTTTTTTTCGCCTTTCTGTATGCGAAAAGTGAGCGCAAGAGCCCTCGGTGCGCCTGCTCGCTTCTGAAGTCAAAGTAAACTTTATTGTCATCTCCGCTACATGGAGTCCAGTATATAGAGAGACGAGACGACGAGGCTCCAGTTACAGCAGTGCAAGTAAACAAACAATAAATATAAGAAGAGTAAGAAAATAAATATACACTTTAGGACTTGGGATAAAGGGATCAATAACAATTTAAAATTTATAGTTTGATGATTTAAAGTCTCACACACAACCCGTCGAAAGGGCAGGCGGCTGGCTGCTTCCAGATAGAGCACATTTCATTCATAATGTTGTCAGTCCAAGCCCATTATGTATTCATGATTTGAATCCTGGGTTGTGCGAAATCCCAGACATAAACCCTAGACAAAGTGAATCTGTGAACTAAGGTGTAGGTCTATTAGGTTATGTTGTGGCTAGGACCGCCACTGGATATACCTTCGGGTTTTCCGTCAGATTTCATGAAAACAGACATAAATTTGCCTGTTTGATAAGTGCTGAACATTTTATTTCATCCAATTAAACATGAAACCATTTAATGGGTACAACTGCATTTTTGTTATAGTAAAAAATGTTACTATTATTAATATTTTTGAATTGATTCCAGTGTATTGATAACTGCGCTGACTGCGTTACTGGAGGCTGGATTAAGGCACCAAGCCTCGGGACAGCGCAGCCTTGTGAATGACCGGAGGCTTTTCAGAGGATTAATGCAGCCTAAAGGTGGAGCAAAAATTGTGAAGGTTGGTGGCGGACGAGAGTGTAATCTTTTGAGCCGACAGGGACGCACGGCGGGAGAGATGGACAAGCCAGCTCTCGGATTTGGCGAATTATCTGAGGAATTGGTGGGTTGATCGACACTCTTTAACCAACAGCAAACTGAACTACACATCCTCTGGGAACAGACATGCTGCACAAACTTATGCTGCAAATCGGTAAGTTCCCTGAAACATGTTCACTTATTGAACATAGTTCAGTAAGTAAGCGACCCTTGTTGTTCGTGCTTGTGATTTAAAAAATAAATATATCAAATAGCTTTTATCTATAAGAAAGTAAAAACAGTAGCCACCGATTTACAGTCTCCTAGTCTAACCGGTGTTTATGCTGGTTTAGTTATCTGTTGTTGCTATTTCAAAGTAAATACAAGCAACTCCCGGCGAACAACGTCATCTTTAACGTCTTCTTTTTTGTGTCCTGTCAGCTTTAGCAGCAAGCCTCCTCTCACCTGAGCTATCAAGTGCCACAGCTACTAAAACAAAAGCTCAAGGTAATCTATCACATCTTGCCATATCATTCACCTGCCCTCTGTGAATATCATTCATTCACAGAGGGCAGGTGGCCTGATACTCGAATACTACTCTGGGTTTTAACCTAAAATGTAGTGAAATGTATGAATATTAATCTATCATGAAAAATAATAAAACTAATTATTAGATTGAGTGACAGTTTGTGATAATGATCTCATGAGAAAAGTGCAGTGATAATATTAAACTAATAAAATATCAATATAGTGCCAAAAATTACTGTAGCACAGTATAGTAAATAATTAGCTAACTCAGCTTCTGGAATTCTTTTCTACAGTTACTTTTCCAGAATCTCTCATGATCTACACAGTCTTGTAGAACTTGTCAAAAAAGACAACCCACACGCAAAGTTAACCATGATCATTCATAATTCCTGATTCATACTTACATTATAACAATAATTTTTGAGGAGAAATGCTTAATCCAAAGTATTTTATATATTAGATTCCGTTGAAAGTAGTCAAATGGAAAAGGTGTGTGTATTCCTGGATCAAAGTGCTCCACCTGATTCTTCATCTCTCTGGGGAGTCTTTAATTAGATAGTAAATAATAATCTTTGCATTTGCTTTGTCGTGTTAATATAAGAATATAACCTGTAATGCTGAAAGTCTATTTTAACCTTTTTCCATTGTTTCTGGCAGTATCTTCTCAAAAGATGGAAAAGTTTGACAAATCCAATTTGTGCTACAAAAATATGGATGTTTTAAAACTAAAGATACAAGGATGTGATCTACTTTTGGTAAACTGTGTACTTTATATTGCCTGTGTACCTGCTTCTAGTAAAGAACAACTCGGGTGTGACACCAGCTGGGGAGTGTGGGACCTGGGTAAAGAAGCCTGATGGAGGGCATTTCACATCACCGAATTACCCTGAGAAATACCCACCTGAGAGGGAATGCATCTATATTATAGAAGGTGAGACCTTATCTTGTTTTGTTTTTTTAGCATCCTTACAGTACCACTTCCCACTCCTCCTGCTGTTAACTTCACCTTCTCTCAACCTCTTGGCCTGTTGTAGCCTCTCCTCGGCAGTGCATCGACCTGTTCTTTGATGAGAAGTATTCCATCGAGCCCTCCTGGGAGTGTAAGTTCGACCACATTGAAGTCCGCGATGGTCCCTTTGGTTTCTCTCCCATAATTGGTCGCTACTGCGGGCAGGAAAGCCCGTCATATGTCCGCTCCAGTGGGAGGTACTTGTACATCAAATTTGTGGCTGATAGTGAACTGGAGGCCATTGGTTTCTCAGCACGGTATAACTTCACAAAAGGTGAGTGAATGAAGCCGTGAGCAAGTTTCGTCTTCATAAAAGCTGTATTTTACACTAAACAATTATTGTTAATATTAAGCATCATTTTTTAAATCAGTCACTCAAAGAGACAAACCCTTGTAGAACTGTAGCCCAATAAGTTCTCTTCAGTTTGAGCATTGCCTTGCACATTCTTTCAGTTTTAAGGTCAGGATGTACTTAAGTGTTCTCCATCAACAAAGCATTAAAATGTTTAAATAAATTTGAAGCACATTACCTTCCCCGGAGTCAAAGGCATAGCTAGGTGGAGAATATAACTCAGCATTTGGCAAACAGTGTCTGTTTGCCAAATGCAAATGGTTCAGCACAGACTAAAACGTTGCTTGACATCGACAAAACAGATATGATTGCATTTACTTGTATGTTTAAATAGAAATGTGACTGAATGCTAACATGGTTGCAAAAAAGGAAGGAAAAATAAAAGAAAAATGCAGATTGTTCTGTATAATCTAATTTATTGAGGAAGGTAATCAATCAAATCAGGGATAATTTGCGAGTGTAATGTCTGATGAATTATGAGTGTATTAATCATTTATTGCATGTATTTTATTAATCATTTACAGTGGCGGTCCTAGCCTGTTTGGCGCCCTGGGCAAACATCCCCCCCCACACACACACACACACACACACACATTAAAATTTATGTGTATGTGTGTGTATAAATGTGTGTATAAATATTAAGGATTGTACATAAAACATAACAAACATAAAACTGTTGTCGGAACCATACTGAATTTCACCAGATATACATACACACACGCACACATATGAAGAGAGAGAGAGTGAGTATGCATAGTATGCAAACAGCTACCAGACAGCCATCATAATTTGTCATACAATGAAAACAGGACAAGTCAACAATTGACAATGACTAATTAATATTAAAACATAATCTGTAACATAATGTATTGTTTGGAGTTTAGTCTGTTACTGTTACTATTTTTACCATTTCTTCTTGGAGCAACTGTAGCCCACATCATTTCTTTAGGGGTTAATAAAGTATTCTGATTCTGATAGTTTCAGGATACATGACCTGCCATTATCCAATGACACATCTGCTTACCTGTATCTTTTGCTTGTTTCTCCTCCTCTTCTTTTCTCTTTTTTCTAAGCTGAGTACCTGATGGCTTTGAACTTTTCTTGTCCATCTTGGTTTTAATTTTGCACTCCAGTAGGAACACCCATTCCCCAACCCGAGGATCACCTCAACATAACCTAATAGACCTATGTAACCAATACGTCTACTCACCAAATAATGAGTGAAGCAATATGGATAACAGCAGAGGACAATTTATTTAGGGTCTGATGGCAATTTACCATCTGTGTCCAGCACTTTAAAGGATTGATGGACTGGAGCACATACGTCCTTAACCTACCCTCTTAAACATCAGCTTGACGCTGATACATCAAAGGAAACTTAACAGACTCTAAGTGCAAATGTTTCAACCTGAACAACTTAAAACTTCTCTGGGATACAATGTAAACAAAGACAAGAAGAAGAAAAAAGAAAAAAAATATTTCCATCAATAGCCACTTGTGAATATATTGTTTAAAGAGTCTTTTTTTTTTCTCAGTCCTGGGGTTGTAACACCACAACCTCCTCAGTCCGTAATCAGAGAGTGTCTATTTGACAATAACCAAAATGTCTTTGGATAGTCTTTGTGAATGCAAAACCCCCCCCAAAAAAACAATGGTGTTAGCTGGCCAGCAAAATAAAGAGAGTGTGGCACTGAGTGCGGGCGTGTGTGTGAGTACTTCGGTCCAAATAATCGAGGACCGGGTGGATGAATGGATGGCAGCCGCCGGTCCTTTAATGGCACCAGCGAGACAGCACAGTAGTAAGGCAGCACGGCAGTAAGGCAGCACAGCAGCGAGGCAGCACAGCAGCGAGGCGTCTGGCAGGAGAATGAACAATAGTCTTTTTTTAAGGCTAGCTCACCCAAGCTTGCTCTCTGGCACAGCTACAAGCCATGTGAGCTCGTAACCCCACAGTGACATATGAACTTGGCTACCAACGTCTGCTTAGCATGGCGGCTAATTGTCGAGCTTGCTAGCTTATCCCCAATTAGCGATTAGCACCTTAATAACCATTACTACACATCACATCATAGCAAACACATGATAACACATGGAATAGTATAATATACTAGTGATGGGTCGGTCGCGAACGAAATGGCTCTTTGAGGTGAACTACGTGAGCTGGCTCCTTATCGCAAGCCATGGGTTGTTTTTTTTCCCCCCTTTCTCTCACCCTCTCTCTCGCACTTTTTTCCCGCTTCACTCCGCACGTGAGCCTTGTGCTTTGCGCTGGGAAGAGGTGGGAGGGGCGGTAGTTACACTGGCAGTAGCACAGAGAGAGAAAGCGAGCCAGGGACAACAACGTCACATTAGAAAGGTATAGTAATCATCCACAACTATTTTCAGTTGCAGATGATAAAGGATTCAGAAAGTTTATTCATGCAGGCCCATATGACAGAGAATATGCATCTTTTTGTTTTCATATTTTAATTTATATTTAATTGTGTTGTGGTTTTCAGTGTTTTGTGTTGTTTCACTTTAAATTTGTTTAAAAGGAAAAAGCTAAAAATTTAAATAGTTAAAAGTTGAAATGTGAATAGCTGGTTTTTGTATTATATGATTTATTTATTACATTTTATGTGGAGTGAATAAATAAAAGTATATTTACGGTGGCCCCTATTGACAAAGCACGTACAAACTTCAAAATACGTACGAACTCTGAAGCACGTACAAACCCTGAAGCAAGTACAAACTCCAAAAGATGTAAAAACTCCAAAACATGTACAAAACACAACAGAAGTGCTCCAGGATGCTAGGTGCAGTGTTGAGCTTTTGTTACCTAGTGGCTACACAAGCCAGCAAGTACCAACGACCTGATTTGGTGTGTAGTAGTAACAGGTAAATAAACTTTTTTTAAATTATTTGAATATATATGAGTGCTTGTGTATAAATACACAAACCATACACATATGCTTTCAATTGTGTAATTTAAGTGATCTAGATAGTTCTGTTTTGGAAGTTCAGTTAACTCTAGGAATGTGTTTTGGAATTTGTACGTGTTTTT